TTTTTTAAATATATTTTACAAGTTCGATGGGTATGATGGTTTTTATTTCGCCTTTTTTGGTGCTGAAAAATGAAGATTTTAGAAAAAAGAAGACATCAAATGGAAAGTATTACTTGTGTTTACAGGTAGTTAGTTATTTTATTCCCCCCACACTATTTTTATATTTTTAGGGTGAGGGGGGTAGCTAGGGGATAATTTTTTATTTGGGTGGGGGGAGGTGACTTGGGGCTTGGGAACCCCTAGTCACCTTGGAAGGGGGAGGGCTAATTTTAATTTAGGGCCCCCACCTGCCGCTCAGGGAGGCTGGGGGGAGGACAATCATCCTTTAGGGCCCCCACCCACCGCTCAGGGGTGGGGGCCTCGGGGGGCTGAACAGTTGGTCCCCCCATTGTTATTTATGGCCCCCACATACTGCTCAAGGGTGGGGGCTGGGGGAGAGGATTTTATTATTTAGGGCCCCCACATGCCGCACTCGGGTGGGGGCCGGGGTGGAGGACAGTGTGAAAGGACAGGGAGGAGAGGGGAATCGCCAAAGGGCCAAACTGCACACGCTACCTATTATTGAGGAGCCTTCCACCAGGTGGCCATAGTTTTAATAGGCCTTCTTAGTAAGCCCAGCACCTCCGGGAAGCGCTACATCCTCACCGTGGTAAACTATGCTACCAGATACCCTGAGGCGGTAGCTCTGTCCAACATGCCACGCAGGGGTAGGGGGCCAGGGGGGAGGACCATAGGTGTATCCCACCCACATTCTCATTTAGGACCCCCACCCACCGCTCAGGGGTGGGAACCAGGGGGGCTCTAGGTTCCCCCTTCAGTTTACGAGTGGGGGCTCGGGAGGGGTGTTCACTGTTTACTAGACATGCCCCTAGTAAAGGGGTGTTCACTGTTTACTAGACATGCCCCTACTCGAGTATAGCAAGAAGGGGCAGAAATTATTAATACGAAGTAATCTTTTGCTAGATAACTCCCTGATACCGTGGGAATTAGGGAATTATCTACTAAACGGCTGCAAGATGCAGCCGCGGCACAAATAGGATTGGAGTTTCATTCATTAAAACAAACAAAGTCCTGAATTGCATCGAAACACGAATGGAGAAATTGTTCTCATTCTGTTAGGACGCTATTCAGAGGTTTTGTTGGCATTCTGTCTAAATGTCAAGACGTTCGGGAATACTGACAGGAAGCATCGCGGGAACAGGGAGGAAGGCTAAGAATTATGGTAACATTTTTATGACCACCGAAAATGGAACACACTTTGCTCCTCTGCTGGTCTTAGATGGTCAGGCATGGGAAACCTCCATAAGGCAAGTAGTCCCTACTTTGTCTTATGTTTTAAAGAAAACTAAAGCAAACAGGAAGAAATGAAGAACAGATCCTGACAGAGGGAGAGAAAAGGAATTGATTGGGGAAAGGTAAGTTTGGCATGACAGTGCCGCTTTAAGTTAAATTATATCTTCGTTTTAAATATATCTTAATGTATGGTTTAAAATCTTCACTACACTGACAGTAATAGTCAATGAGAAGTTTAGGGATTTGATTGAAAATTGAGGAATACGGTGTCCATTTACTTATTCATTATAGCTTCTAAACTATACTAATTAGTCTTTAATAAGGTACTTCATCTGTATATCCTTTAAAAAAAAAAAAAAAAACCTAGATCGCTTATCTCATATACCTTAATTATGCTTCTAAGATGAACGCGCCTTTAGTGTTCTGTAGTAGCCCCGGAGGCTGTCTGCGGTCAGAGCCCATAGTGTGGGAGAAAAACATCAAAAAAAAATTTTCTCCCAGTTCACAAATCTCCGAGGAATATTTTTGGTAAGCTTGTAAAGAGAGAGATTGAAATACTTGCCAACTTTTAGAAGTAAAGGCCTGAAGCAAGTGGCTTGATTTGTCACTGTTTAAAATCTCGACTGTAAAAGTACATGTCAGGGTGACATGCTACCCAGCAAGGTGGTCAAATAGGGCTGTCCATCTGTAGTGTGCTGCTGAAACATCCAGCAATTTGCATACACTAAGCGTCAATACTCTTCAATAGGTAGTTGTTCCTTCTTCTCCACTGGACAGGTAGCTTGTTAAGGACAGAACCTTTAAAGGTTTTGCTCTACCTATGACTCCAACTCCCTCATCATATAACTGGCACCCGGCCTCACACACTTCACATTGTTTGAACAGTTCGTAAGTAGGCAATACCTATCCCATGGTTTTTTTGTTTAGTTAGGCTGCTAATCAGTAGTTTGTTGAATGGTATGTTCTGGGCTGCGTAGCCTGGTTACTGTTTCATTTGGTTTTATTTAACTTCTTCTAGTGTTAGGTGAGATGAGTGATTTTGAGCAGCTAATTTGTAGGAGGGACAGTAATCGCTGGGGCCTTGTAAACAAACCTTTACAAATGCAGGCATCTGTATTCTAGGACAGCCACTAGGTGTGTATCCCTGGCTCAAAGGTGTGTATCCCTGGCTCAATTATCTCAGTACTTAGCCTTTTCCACATAGCTGGTAGAGACCTATATAGTTTGTGTTAGATTACGGTTACTCTAGTGGGAGTCCCAATAAATAGATGACAAGGCTATTTTTCAATGCTTTGCTATGGGGAGGTCTAATGCGCATTAGGTCTCAGTCTCACCCTCGCGTCCACGCATGCGCAATAAGTCTCCCCCACCGAATGACATCGGCGGGGAGGAGCATGGGCGGACCCTGAACCAGCGCTGGGGACATCGGCGCTGGATGCAGGTATGTCACTGAAGGGGTTTTAACCCCTTCAGCAACTTGGGATGGGGGGTGGGAGTGAGAGGGGACCTGCAGTGCCAGGAAAACGGTTTGTTTTCCTGGCACTGGAGTGCCCTTTTAATTACAAGAGACAAAAACCAGTGGGTGAGTAGCTAAATATATAGCAGATGAGCAAAAATGGGGACTCTGGCAGATCCTGGTAAGTCGCAGGTTGTTTCATAGATCTTCCCTCTTGCAATATATCATATAGATTGTGCGTCTTGCCGGAAGAAGCATGTTCCTATCAGCTGTCACTCATGATGGCTGATGGAGGTGACAGAAGCAATGACCATGGACACATTATTAAAAAAAAAAAAAAAAAAAAGGCAGATTCTAAATGAGACAAAGTATAAACTCTGAGTTTTCAATATAGAATCCATGAAAAGCTCCAAAGTGACAGCTCATTGAAACGGTCTGGTTGCAATGTCCCATGTTCCTTAAAGGACCACTATAGTGCCAGGAAAACATACTCGGGGGAGGAAGGGGCCTGGGGGGAGTAAGGTGCGCATTCAGCCAGTCCATAGGAAAGCATTCACAATGCTTTCCTATGGACGCTGGCGTCTTCTCACTGTGAAAATCACAGTGAGAAGCACGCAAGCGCCTCTAGCGGCTGTCAAGAGACAGCCACTGGAGGCTGGATTAACCCATTTCTCTGAAACTGCTATGTTTATAAAAAAAAAAAGGTTAACCCTAGCTGGACCAGGCACCCAGACCACTTCATTAAGCTGAAGTGGTCTGGGTGCTTATAGTGGTCCTTTAAGCTTGAGAAAGTGCAAGAATTACTTCTGAGTGTTAACTCCTCCTCTAGTGGCTGTTTACGAAACAGCCACTAGAGGGACTTCCGGAATTTAAATGGACCTTTGATTTGGTATCTTACGCTGGACGTCCTCACGCTATTGAAAAATGCTTTCCTATGGGGAAATACTCATGCGAGCGTGGCCACTGCTGTGCATGCACATGATGTCTTCACCGCTGGCTGATGGCGGTGGAGGAGCATAGGCGGAGCCTGACCCGGCACCAGGGGACATCGGCACTGGCTTCAGGTAAGTGACTGAAGGGGTTTTAAACCCTTCAGCGTTGCGGGAGTGGGGTACTGCAGGATTCTATAATGCCAGGAAAACAGCTTTGTTTTCCTGGCACAATAGAATCATTTTAAACCAAAACACATCACACTTCTATATCTCCAAAATTTGGGAGGTGTGAGATTGGGAAAGGTGGGTGAATCTCAAAGGGGGTATAACCTGCGACATACCGGTGGCATTCCACCCTTTCTGAAAGTTAATTTCAGAAGCCAAGTGCTGCTCGGGGAACTAAATAGTCTGCACTGAAGGCAACCTTTTGGGGTTAAACCGCTTCAGGGAAGAAAGTGCTCAGGTACCTCCTGGCACCATAACAAAGTCCTTTGGATGAAGTTGTTATGGTGCCCAGAGTGTTCCTTTAAATTTTTTCTACTAACACTGCAATAACTAGAATACAATAATAATATTATACAAACAGTTACATAATATAAACTCAGACACTGTATAAATGTGTTTGGTTCTATCAGTTTATATTATTTCTCCATTTCAATGTTGCTATGCAGTTAGTGCCAGTAGAAGGAGATGTAAACCCTGCCAAGAGCCCCCCTTTGATGGAAGAGCATGTTAATAGACGGTATGCTAATAGTGGTGTGAGATAGGGGGTATGATATTGTGTGGTGTGATACTGAGTGGGGAGATACATTTCATTCCATTCCCAGATCGCTGGACGTTCTATTCGGTCTCTAGGAACATTCCATCACTCTGTATCCTATCAGGGCAGCTAATGGGCGGTAACACTGTTTCCCTGGAGGACAGTGCAGGCAGTCAGTGAGCGGCTCCGTCACATGGCGGCTGGTACTCGGTGTGTGCAGCCCGGAATGTCCCCCGGTACCCCGCGTTATGTCCTATTCAGTGACACTTCAGATTGTGTGCAGCAGGCTCCGCCCCCTCATTTCATTACTGAATTCTCCTGCTTTCTCTTCCCTCCCTGCAGGGGGAGGTGGGGAGCTGGATGGAATGGCAGGCTGTGCAGGGGGAGGGGGAGAACTGGATGGAATGGCAGGCTGTGCTGGGGGAGGTGGGGAGCTGGATGGAATGGCAGGCTGTGCAGGGGGGGTGGAGAGCTGGATGGAATGGCAGGCTGTGCAGGGCATGGTGGAGAGCTGAATGGAATGGCTGTCTGTGCAGGGGGAGGTGGGGAGCTGGATGGAATGGCAGGTTGTGCAGGGGGAGTTGGAGGGCTGGATTGATTGAGCGTGAGACGTATTTCCAGGGCTGTTGATACAATAAAGGTGAGTCGGGTTTTATTGATGTTAAACTGCAGTTTAGTTTGGGATAAAGTATCTGTCAGTGTGGGGGAGATAACAGATACAGGAACTAGTGAGGCGAAGTTTGTTAGATTGGGGAGAGCAGAGAAGCCAGGATCTCCCACTCACTACTGAACTGTCTGACTGGTAACAATGTGTCAGCAGTTTATATAGTGAGCGGAAATACCGCGCGTGGGCTACTTCCTCTGCTTCGGGTTCGAGTCTTCTGATGGTGAGTTAGAACTATGGCCTTTATACCATTTATAGCCTGAGTGCATGTTATGCCCAGAGGCGGCCTGAGTGCATGTTATGCGGACAGAGAAGGGAGAGGCTGCTGTTTAAAGAATGAAATGAGAGCCTGAGCCGGGGAGAGCAATGCGAGCAGGGCTGGCCTTAGGCCTTTAGGTGCCCTGTGCGTAAAATCTTCACAGCGCCCCCCGTCATCCATGTATGATGTAATGTTTGTGTTGTCTGTGTATGTGATAGTAGGTGTGATGACTGTGTGTGATTATATATGCTATATGTTGGCTGTGTGTGATATTTGTAATACATAGAAACATAGAATGTGACGGCAGATAAGAACCATTCGGCCCATCTAGTCTGCCCAATTTTCTAAAAACTTTCATTAGTCCCTAGCCTTATCTTATAGTTAGGATAGCCTTATGCCTATCCCATGCATGCTTAAACTCCTTTACTGTGTTAACCTCTACCACTTCAGCTGGAAGGCTATTCCATGCATCCACTACCCTCTCAGTAAAGTAATACTTCCTGATATTATTTTTAAACCTTTGTCCCTCTAATTTAAGACTATGTCCTCTTGTTGTGGTAGTTTTTCTTCTTTTAAATATAGTCTCCTCCTAATGGGTGTATTAACAGTATGCGATATGCGTGTATTGGTTGTATGTGATATTTGTGTAGGGTTTATTGGCTGTGTGTGATGGTTATTTAATTCAGATAAAAAATAGGCGGTCATGCGCAGGCGGTCACGCGCGTGCAGACTGTCACTCACACAGTTACCTGTGGAGTTCATTGTGGAGGCAGTGCAGCTCCTGGAGACTGGTTGTTGGGGAAGCAGGGACTCCTTCCTGTTTCCCCTGCAGCAGTTATCCGCCCCCGCCACAAATTATTATTTATTTATTTTTTTTAAATATTTGACCTTGTGTGAGCTGCTTCCTGGCGCCCTGTGCGACCGCACAGCTCGCACACCCCTGAATGCGAGATACTGAGCCGGGGAGAGCAAGGGGCTGCAGGTGGATCAGCACTGCTCCATCCAGACAGGGAATCGGGAAGCAGACAAATACAGGTAGATACTGAAGCCCCCTGGTGGACAGCAAGGTAGAGGACCTGACTGGGATGCTGGAGCTGTGAGTTAAAATCCAGCCAGGTCTCTTAAAAGGGTAGCCACGCCTTGCTGTCTGCAGGGTTCAGGTTGCACCAAGACAAGGGGTGACCTCCGGGCGCCAACAGACAGGGCTTCAACTAGGGCAGGGCTGTCCAACCTGCGGCCTCCAGATGTTGCTGAACTACAACTCCCATGATTCCCTTGCTATCTGTTTCATTGAAATGATCATGGGAGTTGTAGTTCAGCAACATCTGGGGGACCGCAGGTTAGACAGGCCTGAACTAGGAGATCTAGTTCAGGCTCAGACAGGGAATCCGTATCAATATATATCAGTATATATTATCCAATGCAACTTTGACTGTATTATATCTATTCTATGAGTACAATATGTAATGTATTTGATATTTTACTTAAAGTATGTGCGCTCCCTCTTTTTTCCTTTCTGTACACCTCTACACAATCTGCTAAAATGTTAATAAAATTGTATTTAACAAAAATAACATTACAATTTTATTTTTTAGAACGTTTTATTAGAAAATAGTTTCCCTAAAGCAGACTCTGAGAAGCAGTTGTCAAACACTATACGGTAAGCTGAATACGTTTTATTATATTTGTGTCTGTGTAATGCACTCATACATAGGTGTGTTTTTGTGTATGTATACATATTTGTGGTCGGTGACAAAAGACTTGATCTATACCAGTAATAGCAAGTAGGTAGTGGTGTGCTGAAACAGACGAGCAGGTAGGCCTGAAAATTTGGGCAAAAATAATTAATACTGCCTAATCTCAGAACAAAATAATTAGCAAAACCCACCCCCAATTATTAGGCCTGACTTGTAGAAACTTAGAATGTGACCGCAGATAAGAACCATTCGGCCCATCTACTCTGCCCAATATTTTGAAAAACTTTTAATTAGTCCCTGGCCTTATCTTAAAGGAACACTATAGTCACCTAAATTACTTTAGCTAAATAAAGCAGTTTTAGTGTATAGATCATTCCCCTGCAATTTCACTGCTCAATTCACTGTCATTTAGGAGTTAAATCACTTTGTTTCTGTTTATGCAGCCCACACCTCCCCTGGCTATGATTGACAGAGCCTGCATGGAAAAAAAAACTGGTTTCACTTTCAAACAGATGTAATTTACCTTAAATAATTGTATCTCAATCTCTAAATTGAACTTTAATCGCATACAGGAGGCTCTTGCAGGGTCTAGCACGCTATTAACATAGCAGGGGATAAGAAAATCTTAATTAAACAGAACTTGCAATAAAGAGAGCCTAAATAGGGTTCTCTTTACTGGAGGGTTCAGAGAAGGGCTACTAAACTGGTTCATGGATTGCGGAAAAAAACTTACCAGGAAAGGTTAAAGGATCTTAACATGTATAGCTTGGAGGAAAGACGAGACAGGGGGGATATGATAGAAACATTTAAATATATAAAGGGAATCAACACAGTAAAGGAGGAGACTATATTTAAAAGAAGAAAAACTACCACAAGAAGAGGACATAGTCTTAAATTAGAGGGACAAAGGATTAAAAATAATATCAGGAAGTATTACTTTACTGAGAGGGTAGTGGATGCATGGAATAGCCTTCCAGTTGAAGTGGTAGAGGTTAACACAGTAAAGGAGTTTAAGCATGCATGGGATAGGCATAAGGCTATCCTAACTATAAGATAAGGCTAGGTACTAATGAAAGTATTTAGAAAATTTGGCAGACTAGATGAGCCGAATGGTTCTTATTTGCCGTCACATTCTATGTTTCTAAGTGTTTATGGAAGGCTGTGCAAGTTACATGCAGGGAGGTGTGACTAGGTTCATAAACAAAGGGATTTAACTCCTAAATGGCAGAGGATTGAGCAGTGAGGCTGCAGGGGCATGTTCTATACACCAAAACTGCTTCATAAAGCTAAAGTTGTTGAGGTGACTATAGTGTCCCTTTAAGTCTAGGATAGGCTTATGCCTATCCCACACATGCTTAAACTCCCTCACTGTGTTAACCTCTACCACTTCAGCTGGAAAGCTATTCCAGGCATCCACTACCCTCTCAGTAAAGTAATACTTCCTGATATTATTTTTAAACTTTGCCCCTCTAATTTAGACTGTCCTCGTGTTGTGGTAGTTTTTCTTCTTTTAAATATAGTCTCCTCTCTTACTGTGTTGATTCCTTTTATGTATTTAAATGTTTCTATCATAGCCCCCCCCCCCGTCTCGTCTTTCCTCCATCCTTCAATCTTTTAACCTTTCCTGGTAAGCTTTATCCTGAAATCCATGAACCAGCTTAGTAGCCATTCTCTGAACTCTTTCTAGAGTGTCAATATCCTTAACCCCTTCAGGACACATGACGGAAATATTCTGTCATGATTCCCTTTTATTTCTGAAACTGTGTCTTTAAGGGGTTAATTGATTCAGCAACTATTACAAAGCACAGAAATCTTTCTAAATTGCTAGGAAGGTAAATATTAACACCTTTAAGACCAGAGGGCGTACTATTACGCCCTATTTTAAGCGGCTCTAAACGCCGCTGGACATAATAGTACGCCCTCCGTTTTTTTTTTTTTTACTTACCAGGTCGCCAGTGATCCCATGCCGGCGATCGTGGTTGGGGGGACTCCCAGGGAGCCCCCCGCGGCACATCCGACCTCCTGCAGCTCGGGAGACTTCGCTGAACTCAAATATTAGTGTTTCAAAACAGTAAAATGTATTACAACGATGATCTCGCCAGTAAAAGTGAAATTTTTTGCATTTTTCACGCACAAACAGCACTTACACGGACGATATTATTGCTGTGATACGTTTTACTGTTTTGAAACACAAAAATTTGTGTTCAGCGAAGTCTCCCGTGTACAACAGTACCCCTCATGTACAGGTTTTATGGAGTTTTCAAAAGTTACAGCATCAAATATAAGGCTTGTGTTTCATTTTTTTTCACATTTAAATTCGCCAGATTGGTTACGTTGCATTTGAGACCCTATGATGGCCTACCATTTGCAATAGTAGACAACCCAAGGTATTGCAAACGGGGTATGTCCAGTCTTTTTTACTAGACACTTAGTCACAAACACCAATCATGAAATAATTTAAGAACAAACAATATAAAAATAAAGATAAAAATAATAGAAGTGGGGAGGGGGGGGGGCGGAGCCGACCGCGTGCCAACATGTACGCTTGCTAGCTGAGCTCCATCGGAGAGACCAGGCAATCCCTGATCATCTGGCAAACGGACCAAAATCTTGCGCCCTTACAAAATACTGTAGGGATGGCGACGGAATACCCTCTGGAGCTAACCTCTTCCCCTTCCAGCCCGGCCACGTCTGAGAGCTCATCACTGGCACCGGATCAAGATCTCCGGGAGATTCTAAAAAACCTTCCATCTAAACAGGACCTGGCGACAATGCTGCACAGACTAGAGGTGTCTTTCCAAAAAAATATGGACGACCTCTCAGCCGAGGTGAAACAGGTGGGAGACAGGGTGAACACCCTAGAAGATAACCAAGATCATACAGCAATGCAACTTTCACAGTTGCAACAATCAGTGGCAGCACAAAATGCTCAAATGGCTTACATGTATCGTGCAATAGATGACCTCAACAACCAAGGGCGCCGAAATAATCTGCGCATAAAAGGCCTCCCAGAAGGAGAATCTGCCAATTACACTCCAGAAGCTTTTCAATCTTATCCTCCACAAAGAGGCGACGGAACCTATCCTCCTAGACAGAGCTCATAGGGCTCTCAGATCAAGGGGCCCAGCAGCAGAAGCTCCTAGGGATGTCATCTGCCGTATCCACTACTATGGAGTAAAAGAGGCTATTCTCCATGAGATATGACAAACTACCAAACCCCTCCTATATAGAGGCACTCAAATCCAAATATACCCAGATCTCTCTTTGACACTCCAGGCCAGAAGTGTAATGAAACCATTAACAGATTTACTACATACAAGGAATATCCGGTACCGTTGGGGGTTCCCTCTGTCCCTTACGGCTACGCACAACGGGACCACCGCAACCATATCTTCTGTCAACGATGTGGCAACATTCACTTCAACCCTCAACCTCCCCAACATAGAATTAACAGACTGGTACAGCCCAGTGCAAATTCCACCAAACCAGCCCAGACCACAGAGAACAAGATGGCAAACACCCTCGAAAAGGCACTGCAATGAGACACCGCATTTGATGGGAGGCCTCCCATCCCGGTCCGACCGGTCCCCGCGCTAAACGGAAACGCCAGGAGCTCCATCCCTTGCAACCTGGGTCTCCACATACGGACTGACAATGCTTGTACTTAGAAGAGAAAGGGACACCTCTTCACCAACGGACTCAACCGGTTAGGGAGGTTGCATTAGCAGAGAGGCTACACAGACTCTCCTCCTGACCCAAATAGCAATCAAGATCCAAGCATTACCTGGAACCTTCCCCCCCCCCCATCTCAATTTCCTTACCTACAAACCTCCGTCAGACACCAGAAGCAGCAGATGCCGACCATCCAACCAAAGAGCGAAGTGTATCACCTCTAGGCAGATGGGCACACTCTATGCAGCAAAACTACTGCACCATATATTAAGACTCTGAAGGAAAACATAAGCATCACATCTAAACCATGAACTGATAAGGTCTGATACTAGTGAGATGGGGCAGCAAACCATAGAACTCAGTACCACAGGGCAGACCTGGACAGACTCTAACCAGGGCATTGCTGGTATTAAACTCACAAATATTGGAAGATCGAAACCTAAAAACCAACGGAGTGGCAAAATACCATAATCATCCACCATGCATACCACCTAGTCTAACCTACCCACTAATCCCCACCCTACATTTCACCACCCTTCCTCCCCACCACCACTTGGTTCAAGTGTTTACCTGGATGCATAAATTGCATGTTCCAATACACAGGTCACAGCAGATAGATATAGACCACTTAAGATGGCCAGTTAGGCTTGCAGGTATAGCCAGCATCATGGTGGCAAATTGATCTCAACCCATTCAACGTAATTTTACATGCTCAAATAGTCAATTATAGCGGGCTGACTAAACAACAACCATACTCGACCACTAAACAAAAAACCCAAGACCCGATCTACCATTAAATTACACTCCAAAAGGATTGCACGTCTCATACGACACGCAAGAAATTAATACCTGACCCACCCCCCAAATTCCTAGATCACCGGGAGCAACCCCAACGGCCCTAGCGGTGCCTACTTTGTATCCCTGGTGCTGTCAAACTTCCTAAGGGAAAGCCACCGTCAGACAGGGTCAAACTACACCCCTTATACAATTTCTCTCAATTGCTCGCTTTACTAGTGCTAGGGAAATATTGTATATAGTTTATTTGGTTACTTTTGCTCATATACGTGGTTGCACTACACCCGAGCAACTTTTCTAGTTATTCCATGGCAAACATAAATTTAGTAACCCTCAACATTAGAGGTCTGAACTCCCCAGCTAAGAGATCCCTGACCCTCACCGAATTACATAACTTAAGGGCAGATATCACATTTCTTCAAGAAACCCACTTTAAAGCAGACCACGCCCCCACACTCAGAAATAAACACTACCCCACAAGTTACTTAACAATTATGACAGAACCAAATCCCGGGGAGCGGTCATCCTCGTCAGTGCCAAAGTTCCATACACACACATCGACCAATAATCAGACACTAATGGAATACTGGTCATGATAAAAGGATGAATTGGCAACACGGTCATGATCTTTGCCACCCTATATCTCCCTAATACTAAACAAAGCTCATACTTATTCAAATCTCTAACAAAGATATAAGGCTTCTCAGAAGGCATATTCATTATGGGAGGAGATCTTAATTTATCACTGGACTCAGACACCACCTTCAGGTCCACTAATTACAACTCAACCACCCGATACAGAATTGCACAAATACTAGACAAAGCACTTCTCTTTGACGGCTGGATAGTCATGCATCCTCAGGCAAGCGACTACTCTTACTTCTCAGCGATCCAACACACTTACTCCAGGCTCGATATGCTATTTCTTCAACACGGACGCCTCCACCTCATTCAAACCTGCCACTATGACCCCATCACCTGGTCAGACCACTGTCCCCTCTCCATGACCCTACAAGTCCCTACCCTAGTACCCACACAAGCCCAGTGGAGGCTCAATGACACCCTGCTTAACAATCCCTCCAATGTCACACTTTTGACCGACACTCTAAATCAATATTTTGAAAACAACTCAATGCCCTCTATCTCTCCCACAATAGACTGGGAAGTTTACAAGGCCGTACTAGCGCTAGCGTCTAAACAAAAAAAAACAGGTCACCACTCTTACAAATGACATACGTCGTTTGGAACACTATTACAAGCAAAATACATCCCTAGCCCTATACAAACAATTAATTGACAAACGCACATCTCTCCAGACCCTACTAAATGTTAAGGTTAAGCAGACATTACTAAACACTCATACTACACACAAAGAGGCAAATGTGGGCAATTGCTGGCCAAAGCTATACAAATCAGCAGACAACAAACATTCATAGCCAAAATCAAAAAGTCCTCTGGGGAGGTGACCAACCTCTTACCAGACATACTTAAGGAATTCCATTTCTTTTATTCCAATCTATACAACCTACGACCACTTCCACCATCTACTGATGATATACACCGGTTTCTATCCAACCGGATTACACAGCCCATACCCCCAAATGTTAAACAAGCGTTTGACATGCTACTTACACAAAAGGAATTCACAATGGCCGTCAGGCACTTCCCAGCGGGCAAAAGCACGGGCCGGGTGGCTTTACAGCCAAATATTTCAAAATCTTCTCCGCATCCCTCAAGGAGCCCTTTGTGGCTGCTTTCAACTCAATAACTGGTTGCACTATACTAAAAGAGGCACTCGAAGCACATAACACTTATCCCCAAGCCAGGCAGAGATCCAATAGAATGTGGAAACTATCGACCTATCTCTTTAATGTAGATCTAAAAATCTTCATAAAGATCCTGGCAAACCGCCTTAGACCTCTGCCGCATGGGCTGATCCACCCTGATCAGGCCGGGTTTGTGCCTGGTAGGGAAGCCAGAAAGAACACCACAAAATGACTCCGTCTCTTGCACCTTTCGGGCGGGGGACGGACCCAGAGCCTCATTCTCACCATTGACACTAAGAAAGCGTTCGAAGGGGTGGATTGATCCCTGCTAAAGGAGACAATGAGAGCCATGGGCTTTGACCAGAACTGGCTATAGTGGCTTTCAGCTCCACTCCACCCCAGGAGCGAAAATACGCATCAATGGCAAGTTGTCAAACACGGTGCAAATAACAAATGGCACGAGACAGGGATGCCCCCTCTTCATACTAACAATGGAACCCTTTTTGCCGGGGATTAGGGACAACCCTGGCATTCAAGGCATACAAGTAGATGGCTAAGAATACAAGGTATCTGCCTTTTGCAGATGAACTCCTCTTCACACTCACGAACCCCATAACCTCGCTCCCTTACCTACTCAAAGAGAGAGACACATATAATAAAATATCCAGCTTCAAAGTAAATGTTAATAAAAGTGAAATCCTACCCTTGCAACTAACAGACTCTGCCCGAATTTCACTTCAAAAAACGTACCCTTTCAAGTGGCCACTGGAGTCGGTTAAATACATAGGAGTGAAACTCACATCATCTATGGCGCGAACCTACGACCTCAACTTTCCACCTTTACTCTCCACCATAGCGAATCGGGCACTACATTCAATCTAAACCACACCTACTACTTGGAAGCAGACAACTCACGACCTTTGAAACAATTTGCAGTCAGCACACACTACGAAGAAAACACCTCTCCACATTCTACAAACTCCTACAAAAGAGGTTGGAGGACATTCTACCAGATTTCACTAAATCCTGGGCAGAGGAACTAGACATCACAATACAATCCAAGGGGTGGAAGCAAATATTCTCTAATATCTTTCATTCCTCCAAAAGCAATGCCACGCACGAGGGCAATTCTAAACGAATTGCACGTTGGCTTTACACGCCCTCATGCATCCATACATTTTTCCCTACATCATCTAATTTATGTTTGAAATGCAAACTCACGGAGGACAGTTCTAGCCACATATGGTGGTCTTGTTTTATAATCCAAAACTACTGGAGCAAAATAACAGACCTAATACACATCATCACAGGGTATGAGGTCCCCCTGACTCCTCAGGTACTAATATTCTTTATGTACCCCAACCCAATGGCCAGAGCACTACGTATACTATTAAACCACTTACTCACAGCAGCAAATGGGCTGATACCCACTAAATGGAAACAAAACAAGGCACCAACCATTAGGGAATGGATCGCCAAAGTAGACTCTATTAGAATAATGGAAGAACTTTTCTACTCATTCACCCACAAATAGGACGAGTACACAGACACATGGGCACCTTGGCTCTGCTTTCTCCAGGGGTCCACTCAACCACAATAATTACATATCTGATACACAGGGAGTATACAAGAAGGAAGAAAAAATCACTACTAGATCCCAGATTGTATCTAGATGATAAGCTAGAGCCAGCATGTCTCAGCTGTATAATCCCTTTTTATAACAATATTTTTAATATGATTTTTATTTTTAAAAACTCCCAAGGGACCCAAGATTGTTAAATGACTGACTGGTTAACCTTAGGTCATAATAAGAGTAAAAATAAGAATCCGCAATCGAACCTGAGGACTGTTTGTATGTATATTATACACACATTATATATATTTTACACACTGCTCAAAAAAAATAAAGGTAACACTTAAACAACACAATGTAACTCCAAGTCAATCACACTTCTGTGAAATCAAACTGTCCACTCACGAAGCAACACTGAGTGACAATCAATTTCACATGCTGTTGTGCAAATGGGATAGACAACAGGTGAAAATTATAGGCAATTAGCAAGACACCCCCAAGAAAGGAGTGTTTCTGCAGGTAGTGACCACAGATCACTTCTCTGTTCCTATGCCTCCTGGCTGATGTTTTGGTCACTTTTGAATGCTGGCGGTGCTTTCACTGTAGTGGTAGCATGAGACGGAGTCTACAACCCACACAAGTGGCTCAGGTAGTGCAGCTCATCCAGGATGGCACATCAATACGAGCTGTGGCAAGAAGGTTTGCTGTGTCTGTCAGCGTAGTGTCCAGAGCATGGAGGCGGTACCAGGAGACAGGCCAGTACATCAGGAGCCGTGGAGGATGTCTTTAGGAGGGCAACAACCCAGCAGCTGGACCGCTACTTCCGTCTTTGTGCAAGGAGGAACAGGAGGAGCACTGCCAGAGCCCTGCAAAATGACCTCCAGCAGGCCACAAATGTGCATGTGTCTGCTCAAATGGTCAGAAACAGACTCCATGAGGGTGGTATGAAGGCCCGACGTCCACAGGTGTGCTCACCAGAGGTAGCCTGACTGCCATTGGGTACCGAGATGAGTTCCTCAGACCCCGTGTGAGACCAGCTGCTGGTGCGGTTGGCCCTGGGTTCCTCTTAATGCAAGACAATGCTAGACCTCATGTGGATGGAGTGTCAGCAGTTGCTGCAAGACAAAGGCACTGATACTATGGACTGGCCCGCCCATTCCCCAGACCAAAATCCAATTGAGCACATCTGGGATATCATGTCTCGCTCCATCCACCAATGTCTCATTGCATCACAGACTGTCCAGGAGTTGGCAGATGCTTTAGTCCAGGTCTGGGAGGAAATTCCTCAGGAGACCATCCGCCACCTCATCAGGAGCATGCACAGGCGTTGTAGGGAGGTCATACAGGCACGTGGAGGTCACACACACTACTGAGCCTCATTTTAACTTGTTTTAAGGACATTACATCAAACTTGGATCAGCCTGTAAAGTGTTTTTTCACTTTCATTTTGAGTGTGACTCCAAATCCAGACCTCCATGGGTTGAAAAATTAGATTTTCTTTTTTTTGTGTGTAATTTTGTTGTCCGCACATTCAACTGTGTAAAGAACAAAGTGTAACGGATCGCCTGGCACCCCGACTGGGTACCTCCGTTAAAGGATGCTCCTAGCACTTCCTGAGGACTCCAAGCACTGCAGCAGACACCAAAATCACCGAACCAGAGAAGCGTATACCTTCTCTCAAGCATATGAATGCTGTAGACAGTTGAATAGGAACCATACGAATAGGTTTACTCTCCTAGCAGTCAAACTGGAACAGCATACAATAAATCCTTCCCCCAATAATGAGACGACACTTCACTTTGAGGGTTAAAACAGGAACTCAAGTGCTGGCACACCCAGCCTGGTTTTTATTACAATCCACAAAACATAGTACAGCCCACAGGGCGTTACAAAACAACCAATCAATCCGTACAATACACCCAGACACTCCCACACAAAATCCTCCCCTCTGCAGGTGATATGATTACTGAACACAATGGGTAATCTCATTATCACCGGCAGAGGAATACAGTTTTTATACAATATTTATAACTTCTAAAATATACATGTCACAAACATAAAACATACATTTTCATAATCAGTCCATTCAGGGGAACAACATATTAAAAAATGGCACGAATCAGACCAGGGGTTCAAAAGTTAAGGGAAAGTCCTTTGTGACTAAATGAAGCATGGCTTTCTGGCCCAAACCAGTTTCAGAGTCTTCTATCCTGGAGAGTAATTCAATTATCTCCCAGGATAGACACAAGACTCCATTAAGCACATGGTTGCAAAAGACACAAAACACTTTAAAATACATAAAGTCACATTTACACATAACACACAGACATTTCACATATCCCCAGATAGCTGGGATCTGAGTGCACATTATTAGATGAATGGCACTCAGATCACACAAATAAGCCTTTCTGCAGGGGAAATAAACGGTTTAACCTGCAGGGCCATAGTCCAAAGGGAGCAGGCGAGCAACCAGGCTTCTCCAGTTCACAGTGGCGAGGTTGGTTTCGCCACACAAAGTATTTCAGAAGAATATTTAATTCATTCTGATCTAGGATGTGTTATTTTTGTGTTACCTTTATTTTTTTGAGCAGTGTATATATACATATAAGGGATGGCCGCAGGCTCCAGGGTGATTTGCCAATATCCTTTGCACAAATCCAGGGTAGTGAGGTAATTACACCTCCAGCCATCCTATTTAGGAGCTAGTCTATCCTAGACATGGGGTAAGCGTTATGGTCCTGTCATTGAGTTTCTGGTAGTCAATACAGAAGCGAGTCGTACCGTCTCGCTTGGGTTACCAGCACTACCGACGAAGCCCAAGGACTCTGCAATGGCTCTATAACTCCTAGTTTGAGCATCTCTTGGAGTTCTGCCAGCATGTTGTCTCTAACCTCCGCAGTTATACGGTAGGGTTGTTGCCTGAGCGGGGTTTCCCCTTGGGTCTTGACTCGATGGACCACAGCAGAGGTGTACCCGGGTAGGGCAAAGAACATGTCCCTGTATTCCTGGAGCACTCTTTTCCTGGGGGTTTAACCCCTAGCTGCACCTGCTCTATCGTGTTGGGGCCGGCAGCGAGTAAGTTCGGTAGGGGGATGCCCTCACTATCCTCACAAGCAGGGGCACATACGGCCGCTATATCCCCTATACACTCAAAATAAGGCTTCAGTATATTCACATGAAAGGCTCTCTGAATCCTTTCATCTAAACCTTTTGCTGACTATATACATGGTGTCACTAGTTGTCTCCACTACCTTGAATATTCTCTGCCAGGCGGGCTGAAGCTTGTCTTTCTTAGAGGGCTTCAGAGCCATTACTCGCTGTCTTATTTCGAAGACCCTATCTCGGGCACCACTATCGTACCATCTTTTCTGGCGCTTCTGGGTCGCCTGCAGGTTCTCCCGAACTGATTCGGTGAGAGTCTTCAAGCGGTCCCTAAACTCCAGAACATACTGTACAATAGGGACTTCCCCCCCCCCCCTTCTGTGTTGCCATCCCAGTGCTTCCGTATGAGATACAGTGGTCCCTGGACTTTTCTCCCATAAAGGAATTTCAATGGGGGAGAACCCTGTAGATGCCTGGAGCACCTCCCGGTAGGCAAACAGGAGGTGGGGAAGGAACCTCTCCCAGTGTGGACAGAACGCTGTGAATGTTCTAAGCATTTGTTTGAGCGTGGCGTTAAAACGTTCGCATAGTCCATTGGTCTGGGGATGGTAGGGAAAGCTGAACAAGGATTTCACGCCGCAACGCTGCCATAATTGTTGGGTCACAATTGCGGTGAACTGTGTCCCTCTGTCAGAAAAAATCTCCATGGGGAAGCCTACCCGAGTAAAGATTTTCACTAAGGGTTCTGCCAATGTCTCTGCCTCTATATTGGAAAGGGCTACTGCCTCAGGGTATCTAGTAGCATAGTGATAAAACACACAAGAAATGTTATGGAGCTGAATTTAAAACTATAATATATACTAATAAGCAGCATTATATATTGGGAAAAAGCTCAATCACCAAATTAGAACAATGTAAGAATAAAGTGCGCTGTGCCTTTAAGACTCAAAATATTTATAAACCGTGAAAACTTGTGCAATATTGTGTAAAGTGATCAAGTGCATCAATGTGCAACTCACTTAAACATTATATATATATATATATATATATATGCAAATTGTGCAAACAAAATATTTCTTTGTGCAATACTTAGCTTTCCCAATTATGGAATATGCTTTAGGGCTTCTGTCAGCAATCAATATATGTCTCAAAAAAAGTAGGGATCGACCAATTATCGGTCTGGCCGATATTATCGGCCGATATTTGGTATTTTCGGCAATATCGGTATCGGCCAATTCAGATCCCGATATTGCCGATAATATATAACAGGACCGCCGGACCCATTACAAGCCCAGCGGTCCTGTGGGGGCCAGCAGCAAGCGCTGACTTACCTTGCATGCAGCTCCTACAGCTCTCTGTGTAAATCTCGCGAGACCCGCGGCCGCAGAGCGTTGCCACGGGTTACCATGGCAACGCTCCGCGCGGCACTAAGAGCCGCGAGATTTACACAGGGAGCTGTAGCAGCTGCTTGCAAGGTAAGTCAGTGCTTGCTGCTGCTGAGTCACCACTGTACTTAACAAGCCACTGGACCACCAGGGAATACTATATCCCCCTCCCTGGTAAGAAGCAGGGAGGGGGGACTAAACAAAAAATAAAAAAACATTTAAATATTAAAAAAAATATTAAAATAAAAAATTACACAAATTACATCACTACACAAACACACACACACACAAACACACACAAACACACACAAACACATACTGCATTACATACACACTACACAAACACACACTGGGGGGGGACTAAACAAAAAAAAACATTTAAATATTAAAAAAAATATTAAAATAAAAAATGACACAAATTACATCACTACACACACACTACACAAACACACTGCACACATACTGCATTACATACACACACACTGCATTACATACACACTACACAGGCACACACACTGCATTACATACACACACTACACAGACAGACACTACACTACTAGCCTATTTAAGGGTATTTATTTTTATACACTTTCCCTTACATATAAACTCTGAATTTGATGTGCTTTATGTGTTAAGGATACTTTATATTAATACTCTGTAATCTTGATCATGGATCTTTAATTGATAATGGAAATAACCTACTTAAGGGCATCTCTTTATACACACTTTCTTCTATATATGAAAACTCTTTGAACTTGAAGCGCTTTATGTGTTAAGGATACTTAATATTAATAATACTCTGTGATTTTTGATCAAGGATTTCTAATTGATAATGGAAATTTCTGTACTCGTATACTCTGGTCTTATCTTTGTACTGTATTTATGTTGTATGTGTATTTTATGTCCTCTATACACTTGGATGTTATGTCAGTATCCATAAAAAAATAATGTATACATTTCTTTTTCAAAGCTTGTTCATTATTGGCAATTAAGTATTAGACTGTCTTTCTAATTAATGTAATTAACAAACTATTGTTAAGTAATATACTACTTCCAGCTGTTAAACTACTTGCTTAGGATACTGATTCACATGTTTATTTTATAATTGTGATTGTTTAAAGTTTGTTACATACATCAATTTTACAATATATATGTCAGCTTGACAAAGACCTTTTGGGGTCGAAACGTTACTGTTGTGGTTCCTAATAAAGTGCCTGTCTTGAACCAAGGAGTGCCTGGACCTCTTTTACTCTTACCCAGTCTCTGACTTCCGTGGAGGTGTGGTCGTAGAACTGTTCCAAGCATAGAATTTGTACCGCATCCTCCAATAACGTGGCCTGGCAGCCCTGCATCCAATTTTTGGCAGCCCGGTGTATACGGAATGCCCATTCGGTAAAGGAATCCTTTCCTGAGGCCCTGGAATTTCCTCCGGTACACCTCTGGTGTGACTGTAAATCTGGCCAATAAATTTCTTTGATTTTTCCTATAATTTTGTATGTCCTCATCAGGTGCTGCCCAGTAAGCTTCCGCTGCCCGTCCTGAGAGCTTGCTGCTGAGAACCGCAGCCCAATTATCGGTTTCCAGTCCTTCCAAAGTACACTGACGCTCAAAGTCCTGTAGGCTATTATCGATGTACATTTCTCCATCAATAAATGCTTTGAAGGCTGCATAGTTTACCTTCCGTGGGCGCCCGTTTATATATCCTGGGGAGGTTAGCGTATCCCCTTGCAGCTATCCTGCTCTTGATTCCCGAGCTATCTGCGAGTCTTTGGCATGTGTTACGATTTGTACCACTGCTTCTTGTGATGGATTGGGCCCCAATGAACTTACCATCCATCTCACCTCCTTTTGTAATTTTTCCTCTGGTTGCTCTCCTGCCATGTTGCTGGCTCTGGTTGTAATAACTCTGCAATTAGCGTGGCTTTCTTCTCATTACTTGCCGCTATGCCTCGAGTTTCCTGCAGGTCTTTTAACGTAGTTTGCTGTAGTAACTCACACAGCTGAGCCATTCACCTTTCCTCCAGTTCGGGACGCCCATTCGGGATACAAATCCCTCTGGTTGCCACCAATTGTATCGGACACTGATGTGGTCGAAATCGGTTTGTTTGTTTCCACCTGAACTGCTATGAGCATGAGTGAATATAGCTCGCAGTTCGGGTGTCCGTTCGTCTCTTTCTCTTTCCTATCAGGTACAGCTTTCTAAAGCAGATTCTCCCAATGATGTGAACAGGTACCCAAACATCAGCCAAAACTTGATGAAGTAACAAGACTGAAGCTTTATTGGTGCCACACTGGCTTTTATACAATTCCCCATGCAAGGGGCACTCCCTTTTGGACCGTGTGGGGGACAGGGACACAAAGAGTACAGCCAATAACAATGCAGTGACAAATTGTGACAGTCCACTACAAACAAGCAATTCCCTCCTCTCTGCCTGGAGATAATGGAGTCAGATAAAGTAAGACATTAATTATTTCCAGGTAGAAAAAAACATTATTTTCACAAAACTTTAATAGTACCCCAAAACATACAATATCCCCATAAATGTCATATCCCCTGAAAGCCTTGATCTGGGTGACCAACATATCCAGAAATCACCCAGATCAATTCAGGGGTTTTCGAATTTCATGGAAGTCCAATATAAGTAGCGAAGGAGAGAAACACTGTCCCATGCTAGGATAAATTAAAACATAACTTTTAATGTTAGACAAGATAAATAAAATAGATAAACCTAATTGTATAATAAGGGATAAAGAAGAGAGGATATATATGATAAAAAATAATATTAAACCAATAGAAACAATGTCCTTGATCAACAAATTACTTGCTCTCTCTCCGTTAGGTAGTTGTTCCCTGAGATGATCGGTCTCCTAGGGGGTACAGTCATATTTTTATGCAATTTAGGTAAACAGTATAGAGTAGCTATTGTTGGATGTTTATGGGGCAGTAGATACTTACACTCGTCAGAATTGATTATTTGTTGTTCTAGTGGTTTAGTTAGAAGATCTACCAGTTCCCTTATGTAGCTGTAGGATCAGATAGGAAGACACTAACATTTTTAGTGAATGAAGGGCTTTCCTCTCACTGTGAGTAAGATTGTTGGTGGATGGATGTTCAAAATGACTATTTTCTAGTTCACTAGTAGTCATTTCTACGAAAAGTTGAGCATGTGGGGTATCCTTCAGGTTAGGAGTAAACCAACTTTGAGGTTTTAAATTGGTCAAGGGTTTAGTGGGACTTTGTTCATCCAATAGATGGGTAAATACTTTGAACACTTCATAATCCCCAACAGATAGACCAAGTTCTTTAGCGGGTTGGAAATCTTTTTTAGAGTGCATTAAGTTAAGGGCCAATTTCCTGCCAAAGAGGTTTATGTCCTTGGACCAATTGAATTTATTGTAACTTGGAGTTGGTATGTATGAAAGACCTTTTATTAACCCCTTAAGACCGGAGGGCGTACTATTACGCCCTATTTTAGGTGGCTCTAAACACCACCGGGTGTAATAGTACACCCTCCTGTCTTTCCTTACTTACCCGGTAGCCAGAGGACCCACGCTGGCGATTGCGGTGGGGTGGACGCCCAGGGAGCCCCCCTGCGGCAGACCCTCCTCCTCCTTCGGTCCCCCCCGGCCATGCGGAGTGAGGTCCTTGCGAAGACCTCACAATCACATGGCCGGGATAGCCGCCTGCTGTATTGGCAGCAGGGGGGCTGCCTTTAATTACAGGTGGTCCCCCTGCTGGCTGGAAATAAAAATAAAATAAAATTAATAAGTGTAAAAAAAAAAAAAAATTATACTTGGATTATATATATATATACACACACACACACACACACACACTGTCTAAGTGTATTTTACTATATATATATATATATATATATATATATATATATATATATATATATATATATATATATATATATATAATATACTCGAGTATAAGTCTAGTTTTTCAGCACATTTTTTGTGCTTAAAAACCCCCACTCGACTTATACTCTAGTCACTGTCTGTATTATGGCAACTTAGAGAGCCGCGGCCGTCAGAGCCATGGCAACGATCCCGCGGCAACCAGATCGCGAGACTTACAGTGGAGCTGACCGGAATGGAGGAGAAGGGAGCTGACAGGAGCTGCAGGAAAGGTAAGTAAATGCTTCCTGCCGGCCCCCCCATGCCACTGGACCACCAGGGATTAAGATAGCCCCCCTCCCTGACCAGTTAACAAGCAGGGAGGGGGGACAAAAAAAAATTTAAATAATAAAAAAATATTAAAATAAAAAAATGTTTTAAATAATAAAAATGCCCTCCCCCCACCCAGTTCACACACTCTGCATTATATACACACGCTGCATTATATACACAGTGTGTGTATATAATGCAGAGTGTGTGTTTGTATGAGTGTTTGTGTGTGTGTGTGTGTGTATATATAATGCAGAGTGTGTGTTTGTATAAGTGTGTGTGTTTGTATGAGTGTGTGTGTGTATATAATTATAAAAATCACAGAATTTCATAGCCCCAAGTTTTACCCTCGATTTATCCACGAGGCATTGCATATTTCACAATTGTTGGTCACAAAACTGCACTCGACTTATACATGAGATCGACTTATACACGAGTATATACGGTAATTAAATTACACGTAGACTGATACTGATTAAATGTATATATAATTGTTATATATGTTTATATATAATATAAAAAAATTTAATATGTAAATACATTAAATTTTTTTTTTTTAAATATATAGATGTATTATTTCGTTCTAACTGTATTGTGATATTAATGTATATTTATATCAAAATACACGTAGAACACAATAATATATATCTACATACATAAATATATACGTATATATCACTATATATACCTATATAAATAAAAATATTTAAAAAAATTATATATACACATATCGATTCACATACGTGTGTGTGTGTATGTGTGTGTGTGTGTGTATATATATATGTATACACATATATTAATTCTACATATATTTATGTAATATTTTTACATAATTGGGTATCTTAATTAATTACAATTAGCGGGACCTACCTGACAACCCATGCCAAAAGTAAAGGGAATTTAATTTGCTAGCACTATGGTACTGCTCTACTCAGGAGACTTCGCTGAACACAAATATTAGTTTTTCAAAACCGTAAAATGTATTACAATGATGATTTCTCCAGTAAAAGTGACGTTTTTTGCATTTTTCATGCACAAACAGCGGACGATATTATTGCTGTGATACCTTTTACTGTTTTGAAACACAAATATTTGTGTTTAGTGAAGTCTCCCGAGTACAACAGTACCACTCATGTACAGGTTTTATGGTGTTTTCAAAAGTTACAGTGTCAAATATAAGGCTTGCGTTTCATTTTTTTCACATTAAAATTCGCCAGATTGGTTACGGTGCCTTTGAGACCCTATGGTAGCCCAAGAATGAAAATTACCCCTATGATGGCATGCCATTTGCAATAGTACACAACCCAAGGTATTGCAAACGGTATGTCCAGTCTTTTTTAGTAGCCACTTGGTCACAAACACTGGCCAAAATTGGCGTTTTTTGCATTTTTCACACAAACAAATACTAACGCTAACTTTGGCCAGTGTTTGTGACCAAATGGCTACTAAAAAAGACTAAACATACCCCACCTTCAATACCTTGGGTTGTCTACTATTGCAAATGGTATGCCATTATGGGTGTAAATTTCATTCCTGGGCTACTATAAAGTCCCAAAGGCAACGTAACCAATCTGGCGAATTTCAATTTCAAATGTAACGTGCTATATTTGATCCTGTAACTTCCCAAAACGCCATAAAACCTGTACATAGGGGGTACTGTTTTACACATGAGACTTTGCTGAATACAAATATGTGTATTTTATTGCAATAGAAGCAAACAATATTATGACATTGACAGTTAAAATGTCATGTAGAACTAAAAAAATCTAAAAATCTTTTCTCCCATTTTTTTTCATATCGTTTCATAGCTAAATATTTGATATTAAATGAAAGCCCTGTTTCCCCTGAATAAAATGATATATAATATGGGTGGGTGCATTTAATATGAAAGAGGTGATTTTAGGGTTGGACCGACATGTAGCGCAAATGCCAGGTTTTGTTTACATTTTGTTTCGTTCACAACGTGTACATTTGGCTCAGTCCTTAAGGGGTTAAGCAAAGAGATGTGACGTGGTTGGAGGGGATAATCGGAGAGGTTAATGATTTTGTTTAGCGTCAGTCTCTGTCCTCGTCCCTGTCTCTTGTATGCCCAGCGATCCCTGTCCCTCAACCTCCCCCTCTGTTTCGCGAGGGGGGTCCTGTCCTAAAAAAGTATTTAAACCAATGGAAATGCTAGTGTCAAATGGAATCGGAATGTCCAAAAAGGAGACTGATTTATCAGTGCGTTTTAGGATACTCCTATTAGGAGAATGATTAGGGGCAGGATCGCTGTTGCGATTGCTGTTGGTATAGCGACTTTGTCGTGATTTTGTGGAACTGGTATCTGAGTCTGACCACTCAGTGTCTACAGATGTAGATCCTCTATGACTATTTAAATGTCTACGAAAATTGCGTTTTGTTTTGTTTTTTTACAGAAGATATTACTGTCTTTAAAATCTTTGAAATCTCTTTGAAATTTTTTGTTTTACTTTTAGATTTTGTCTAAAATGTTCTATATTTTTTTTTGTAATTTTGTTTCCATAGGCGAAAAGATAGTATCGGTTTTCAACTTCTTTATTTGAGTGATCTCATCTTGTAATTTTTTTTAGTTTATTCCAAATGTGTGGTTTCAAGTTTTACTAGTAAAGTCATTAGTTTTGAGGAACAATCTAGTAATATCGTGTTCCATTCATTTAATTGTTCGTCTGTTTGGATTTTGTCAGGTAATAGTATATCTGGACGGATACCTCTAGGTACCAGTTTTTGTTCTATGTATTGGTTGAGACTTGTTAATTCCCAAAAACTTCTAATGTGTTGCTGGCATGGTTTTTGTATTGTATTATTTTTGGATAGTGGTTTGTTGGAAAAAACATTTTGAATGTTGTCTGGATTTATGGTAGGATGTAATAACTTGTCCAAAAGAGCTGTCATTTAAATTGGCTTGTGAAGGTTGCTTCCAAAAAATTAGGTATTGAAACCTGGTTTTAACTTTGCAGAATATAGTGGAAGCTTGATATTGACTAAATCGTTAGGACAGTGAATTTGGACCAACTGCACACGAGGTTCTTGCCTAGAAACAGTTCCATGAGTTTAGGTTGTGCGGTCGGTCTATTTCGACAAATCACAAAACCGAACTAATGCACAAACGGAACCCTCTGGCTTCTAGTAGCAATTGTTCCCCTGGTTCATGGGAACCAAGCTACTGAATAGTGCTCTGCTAGCTGTTCTGGAAAAGGAAGCAGGCGTTTGTATGGTTTGACCGTTGTTCGGGAAGTCGAGTGTCCGATTTTTAGTTCCAGACACTTGACGACCAAGTCCCGCTGCCTCCTTTCATGCAAACAAGATGGGCGCCGTTTTCTCCACACAGGGAGAGCGCTGAATTGATGGTTTCCTTTGGTGATAATGAGCCAGGGGGATGGTTGGTGGTTAGGTAGTTTTGAAACTACAGAACAAATAAACGAAAACTGTGAAAACATGTGAAATATTGTTCAAAAAAGTATTGGAAATGCTGAGTTTTCTTACACACCATATTTTTTTTACAATAGTAGAAAGTTAGGTCTTCAGTAGAGTTGAGCGGACACCTGGATGTTCGGGTTCACCGAGTTCGGCCGAACTTTGGCAAAAAGTTTGAGCTCGAATTTTCCCCCGTGCCCCATTAAAGTCAATGGGGACCTGAACTTTTGGGCACTAAAAATTCTCTAAAAAAAAAAAAAAATCCTGGAAAGGGCTAGAGGGCTGCAAACGGAAGTAAAATGGGGGTAAGAGTAGGACAAGTGCCCTGCAAATAAATGTGGATAAGCAAATCACTTAAAATAACATAAAATACATAAATAAAAATACAGCTGAGCCATAGATGGAATCTTTGTTTTTAGCTTTGGAAGAACATAAATCAAAATCTAAAGCATGGCTGTCAGGAGGATCACCAGAATTAACCATGTGAGAGAGGGTTGGAGTGCATGGTATTCTTTCTGTTCACACTGAGCTCAACTCCTGATGCATGGAGAAAAGGCCTTCACAAGCCTCTGCTATTGTGTACAAACTTTATACTAAGTGACCCATAGGTTGAGAAGGCGGTGACCGTGGCGGTGTAGGTGGAAGCGGTGGTTGTGGAGGAGGTGGTAGCCAACACTGTTTGTGTGTTTTTTTTATGTTTTTTTTTTATTGGGGGTAGCCCCCAAAATATTGGGACATATAAAAAAAGTAAAACAAAGAATAAGTGCACTTGAGTATAACAATGGCTGGGTGAGGCCGGTGTATAAATGTCTATTCTGCAAAAGGTACAGACAAGTCTGGTGGGATCCATGCCTGGTTCGCCTGCTGCTCGCACAGTCTCTCCAGCATGATACACTGCAGCACAGACAGGCGAGCAGCAGCAGGGTAAGAATGCCGAAAGCGCGCACAGACGGCCCGCACTTTCTGCTGCAGCAGCTCTGATATATCTGGGTAGTTTTTCAGGAGTTTCTGCACCACCAAATTCAGCACATGCGCCAGGCAAGGGATGTGCATCAAACCAGCTAGGCCCAGAGCTGCTACGAGATTTCGCTCATTATCGCACACCACCAATCCGAGCTTGAGGCTCAGTGGCAACAACCACTCATCGGTCTGTTGTTCCATGATCGTCCACAGCTCCTGTGCGGTGTGGGGTATTTCCCTCCAAACATATGAGTTTTAAAACCGCCTGCTGTCTTTTTTTTCCCCCTGACTGTACTGAAGTTGGTGCTGAAGGTGTTACGCTGAACGGATGAGGTGGTGGTAGAGGAGGAGGAAGCGGAGGAGGAAGCGGAGGAAGAGAAATGCCCTGCTATCCTTGGTGGCGGAAGGACATGCACCAAACTGCTATCCTTCTCAGGCCCAGCCGCCACTACACTTACCCAGTGTGCAGTTAGGTAGGTATAGCTGGGAACCACGTACTGTGGGACAGCCACCGCCATCAGGTTTTTAAAACTGTCCGTTTCCACCAGATGGAATGACAGTATTTCAAAGGCCACAAATTTTTAAATGCTGGCATTCAGGGCCAGCTTTCACGGGTGGGTAGGGGGGAACTTCCTCTTTCTCTCCAGTGTTCGGGAGATGGACAGCTGAACGCTTCCATGGGACAGTGTGGAGATGCTTGGGGATGGTGGACGTGGTGGCGTTGGGGATGGTGACTCCAGATGTGGATGAAGAGCCCGAGACAGCAGCAGAAGAGGAAGCAGGAGGAGCCTGAGATCTTTCTTGGTTTTTTAGGTGCTTATTCCACTGCAGCTCATGCTTTGCATGTAGATGCCTGGTCATGCAGGTTGTGCTCAGGTTTAGCACGTTTGTCCCTCACTTCATGCTCTGATTGCATAGCGTGCAAACCACTCTTGTCTTGTGGTCAGCACATTGTCTGAAGAACTGCCACGCCAGGGTTTTCCTTGGAGCTGGCTTTGGTGTGCTCGATTCCTGGGTGCGGTGGGCAGTAGCAGGCGTACTGTCTACGGGATGGCCGCTCCGCTTTTGCACTTTGCTCCCTCTTATGCTGTGCTGGTGCCTCTGTGCGACAACCGCCTCTTCCTCCAAACTGCACACGTCACTCACATGAGCTTGATTCTATGTGGGGGTCTAGGACCTCATCATCCTCCACATCATCTTCCACCCACTCCTCAACCCTGCCCTCCTTGCCGGTCTGCACACTGCAGAAATCCACAGTAGTTGGCACCTGTGTTTTCGTCATCTTCAGACGTGCTGCGGTGTTCCTTGCATGTCCACATCCTGAAACATAAGTGGTTGTGCATCGGTGCACTCAATCTCTTCCACTTCTGGGGCAGGGCTAGTTGGATGGCCCACGGAAACCCTACCAGCAGAGTCATCAAAAAGCATAAGAGACCGCTGCATGAGTTGTGGCTCACACTGCTTGGTTGATTTGCAAGGGGTTAAGGTGAAAGACAGATGGCCATGGGCTGCAGGTGCCAACTCTGAGCTTTCAGCAGGGGACCAGGTGGGAGACAATGTGAAGGAACTGAAAGCGCGGTCAGCCACCCAATCTACTATCGCCTGTACTTGTTCTGGCCTCACCATTCGGGAATTCGGGCCTACCAAATTATCCTGAAGGTTCTGTCGCGTACTCGCACCTGAGGAAGGCGATTAACTTGTGCGTGTAGCTGGCACAGATCGATCACATCCTCTCCCTGAAACAAAAGCTCCACCAACACCAGCAGCACCACACCCAGTTTTATGATAGATTAATTTGCTCATTAGTGATCAATCATTCTTAATTAGTTAATTGGATTTTATCACAATTATCACACCTATTCCTTCTAGTGGCTGTCTCATTGACAGCCACTAGAGGCGCTTGTGTGCTTCTCACTGTGATTTTCACAGTGAGAGCACGCAAGTGTCCATAGGAAAGCATTGTAAATGCTTTCCTATGAGACCGGCTGAATGCGCGCGCAGCTCTTGCCGCGCGTGCGCATTCAGCCGGCGGGGCGTAACGGAGGAGAGGAGGCAGAGAGCTCTCCGCCCAGCGCTGGAAAAAGGTAAGTTTTTACCCCTTTCCCCCTTCCAGAGCCGGGCGGGAGGGGGTCCCTGAGGGTGGGGGTACCCTCAGGGCACTATAGTGCCAGGAAAACGTGTATATTTTCCTGGCACTATAGTGGTCCTTTAAGCTGAAGTGGTCTGGGTGCCTATAGTGGTCTTTTAAGCCAATTATCTCCAGCATAGAGAGGAGGGATTTCATTGTGGATGTAGGATGGTTATTATGTTAATTAGTGTTCTCATTGGTTTGTGTCCCTTTTGTCACAGTTTACCACCAGGTCCAGGGGGTGTGCCTCTGGCCTGAAAACTTGTATATAAGGAGTAATAAACGCTCATTGGAGTCAGATCATCTTGTACCTTCATGAAGTTTCGGCTCATGTTTGGGGGATTGGAGAACTACACTCTGGGGATTGCTATAATCACTATACTCCCCAGGGTATGATCACTAAGCTCTGCTAAGAGCTTGTTCCTGCTCTCTGAAATTCGGAGAGGTTGACCTACTGGAAGCTGGACCCTGGTCTTGGGTCCAGAGTGGGTGGAGATGGCGAGACCCCAACCAAGCTGTGGCGGTTCGAGGGAGTCTACAGTGGCTATGGTGTCTGGTGGAGTGCTTGGAGTCCTTGGTAAGCACTAGGAGCATCCACCAACAGAAGGTACTCAGTTGGGATGCAAGCGGTTCCGTTACACATATGTAGGAATAGGAACACAGTGGTGTAAGATGTTCTTGATATACGGTAACTGGTATATTCAATGCAGTGTAAACATAAACTATCATAGGGCAATATATACACGTAAAATAATTTGGAACACTCACAATGTTTAGAACCCTTATGAGTCCTCTCAAAACTGCAGGCATTTCATCTGTATAATTATGTAAATGTGGAAGAACGTGGTTATCAGCAAAATTCTGCATGGTTTTACCTGTAGCATTGTAAGCTACATTGAGCAGGGCCCTCAACCCTTCTGTTCCTGTGCGTCCATTTGTTTAGTTACAGTTATGTGTCTGTTAGTCCACCCGTTGTAGAGCGCTATAGAATTTGCTGGCGCTATATATATATAAATAATAATAATAATAATAATGAAGCATAGGTCATGCCAAACTAACTTAATTGCATTCTACGAAGAAGTCATTGGAAGTATAGATCAGGGTGTTGCAGTGGATGTGATCTATTTGGTGTTTGATACAGTTCTACACTATAGATTAGTGTTCAAACTCAAATAAATTGGTCTAGATTTAAATTCTTGTTCTTTGGTTGACAAATTTAAACCTCTTTAGTTTAGAAAAATGTTGTCTGAATTTTTTCTAGTGCCATATCTTTATTTTTTTTTTATTTTTTTTTTTACAGGTTACAAATATAGTACTGCATATTCAAGGTGTGTATAGCAAAGGTAAACCTACACCAATATAGAATAATGGATAAGTCCAAGAAATTACTTATCCAATACAAATGAAAAACAGCTTCCTTCTGATAATCTACAGAAAGGTAAAACAATATAATAGTGGAATACAGTTAAATTAGATTGCTGTGCGCTAAATTCAATTGCGCTCACTAGATGGAGACTTGGAAATTGCCTTAGGGTGCCTCCCGTTGGATGATTGGGGGAGTGATCCAGGGTACACTCTCAGCTTTTGGATGATGACACCACAAAATGGAAAGATGGACTCTTAAAAAATGAAATAAAATACAATAAAAATGTTCCTATGCGTTTCATCTCGCAAGAGACTTCGGCAGGGACACTATAATAAAAACAATCCTAAAGCAGGAAGAAAGCGGCATATACCTTCCCCACCCCTCCTAAGTCCTTCATATATATGCCATCCTTGCATCTCATTGGTGGTTCTGTGGGTGTTTCCAACAATATTCCGCAGTTTTGACTTGTCAGAAATCTAATTTTCCCATGTATTCCTTGTTCAATTTACCTCATTTCTGTGCGTCACTTCCGGTAGTCGCGTCTGTATGACGTGTGTTCCAATCGACGGCCATCATGCATTCTATGCTTGTAAGTTGTCGCCAGGGTTATGACTTATACAAGCTTCTTTCTTTAGTGGACCATAAGGAAGCCTTAAAGGCTCAAAAGGGACAAGTGTCAGAAATAAACAGCAGCATGTAACTGCATCAGTAACCAAGTCCCAATTGTTTAAATAGAGCCCAAAGATGCCTGGCAGCATCTCTCTGGATAATTTCAGCTGATTTATTAGGGGAATGGGAATGTTATTTTTGTTCCAGGTGTTTGTGTTTGGAACATATTAATATGACCAGAATTTTTTTCCCCTCACTATACTGCTATTATAAATCCCCTCTCTTCTGTTTGATTAGTTTCAATACCCAGAGAGAACTCACATGCACAAGCCTTGGCTCTACCTGTCTATGAATTGTAAAGAGCTTAAAATCATCATAAAACCAAGACATGTCAAAGCCCTTAGAGTGGAGAGACAGGAGTGGGGACACTTTGCTAAAAAACACTATGTACACTTGTAATAAATATACAAACATAAATGAACTTGTTGAACTAAAAATGTATATATATTACGAGCAAACTGAATAAATATTGTCAGTTTTTCCAAGTATAGTAATTACTATTTCTATTTCCACTGATGGGTCAAACCAGGGATCTACTACAATTTCAATATCACAACCTTAATGTAGATAAGTGAGGCTTTATGGACTAAATCTCATCTTGCAAATTAAGGTAAAAGGGAGTACACCTAATTTTGCTAGTGAAGGGGATAAAGCACACAAAAAACTCAATTTTCTTCAGTCACCATGACACCCAATGGTCGTTTTTCTTATCTATTGCAAAAATATTGTCATTTTTCTAAGTATGGCAAACAATTTATTGTAACTGATTTCCTTTAACCCACAGTATATTTCTTTCAGGTGTATTTGCCCAGAGTGGTACTACTGAAAGTGGTGACAAGAACAGAAATCCATGAAGCAAGGCTATGAAGAAATCTTTTAATCACAGAACCAAGGAGTCTAACTTTGAAAAATCAAGCAAAACAGATTACCATATGTTCTCAAATGAGATCGTAAACATGAACCCCAAACCATTCTCATGTTCTGAATGTGGGAAATGTTTTAGGGAATACTCCAAACTTCTTACACATCAGAAAACTCACACAGGAGAGAAGCCCTTCTCATGTTCTGAATGCGGGAAATGTTATAGCTGTAACTCAACTCTTATTGCACATCAGAGAACTCACACAGGAGAGTACCCATTCTCATGTTCTGAATGTGGAAAATGTTTTAGCTATAACTATACTCTTATTGTACATCAAAGAACTCACACAGGAGAGAAACCGTTCTTGTGTTCTGAATGTGGAAAATGTTTTGTCTGTAAACAACATCTTATTAGACATCAGAGAATACACACGGGAGAGAAACCATTCTCATGTTCTGAATGTGGAAAATGTTTTCGCTATGACTCCACTCTAATTACACATCAGAGAATTCACACAGGAGAGAAACCGTTTTCATGTTCTGAATGTGAAAAATGCTTTGTTAATAAAGCACATCTTGTCTGTCATCAGAGATCTCACTCAGGAGAGAAACTGTTCTCATGTTCTGAATGTGAAAAATGTTTTGTCACTAAATCAAAGCTTGTCCATCATCAGAGCTCTCACACAGGAGAGAAACCATTCTCATGTTCTGAATGTGAAAAATGTTTTTGCTATAAGTCAAATCTTGTTAAACATTGGAGAACTCACACAGGAGAGAAACCGTTCTCGTGTTCTGAATGTGAAAAATGTTTTGTCGCTAAATCAGAGCTTGTCCGCCATCAGAGATCTCACACAGGAGAGAAACCGTTCTCATGTTCTGAATGTGAAAAATGTTTTGACACTAAATCAAAGCTTGTCTGTCATCAGAAAACTCACACAGGAGAGAAACCGTTCTCATGTTCTGAATGTGAAAAATGTTTTGTCACTAAATCAAAGCTTGTCCATCATCAGAGCTCTCACACAGGAGAGAAACTGTTCTCATGTTCTGAATGTGAAAAATGTTTTTGCTATAAGTCAAATCTTGTTAAACATTGGAGAACTCACACAGGAGAGAAACCGTTCTCATGTTCTGAATGTGAAAAATGTTTTGTTACTAAATCAAAGCTTGTCTGTCATCAGAGAACTCACACAGGAGAAAAACCGTTCTCATGTTCTGAATGTGAAAAATTTTATAGGCATTACACCAGTCTTGTTAAACACCGGAGAACTCACACACGAGAGAAACCGTTCTCGTGTTCTGAATGTAGAAAATATTTTGTTATGAAAGCAGATCTGGTCAGTCATCAGAGAATACACACAGGAGAGAAACCGTTCTCATGTTCTGAATGTGAAAGATGTTTTAGCTTTAAATCAAGTCTCGTTAAACATCGGAGAACTCACAAGAGAGAAACCGTTCTCATGTTCTGAATGTGGAAAATGTTTTGTTATTGAAGCAAAGCTGGTCTGTCAGAGAACTCACACAGGAGAAAAACCATTCTCATGTACATATTGTTGAAAAGGTTTTGTCACTAAAGCAGAGCTCTTCAGTCATCAGAGAACTCACACAAGAGAGAAACCATTCTCTTGTTCTAAATGTGGAAAATGCCTTTTAACTGTCACTCAGCTCTTGTTATACAACAGCGAACTCACACAGAAAAGAAACCGTTTTCATTAGTGTTGTTGCGAACGGTTTGTAGCGAACTCCGGTCAGCTGACACATCCCGGCCAATCACCAGCAGACCCTCCCTCCCACCTCCTGGACAGCATCCATGTTGAAGCTGCCTTCAACATGGATGCTGTCCAGGAGGAGGGAGGGTCTGCTGGAGATTGACAGTTTGCGACAACACTACTCATGTTCTGAATGTGGAAAATGTTTTACTCAACATTCACATCTTATTATACATCAGAGAACTCACACAGGTGGTGAGTCTCTAAAATGTTATAATGCATAGATGCATTAACATAGGAATAAAAGATCTTGTGTGAATTGTCTCTTGCTGACACAATAAATAGTAACTGTGATGGTAGCAGTCAATGTACATATGATGCTATCATCCGGGGTGCCTAACCTGCAATGCCAACTCTAAAGGCTAGTTCCCCCAACCCATGTTAATACAGACTTCAAGCATAGGTTATGTTTACTTCTATTTCTCTAGGGTTTTTCTTAGGGCATACAATGCAGCTGAGACTATAACTAATAAATATACCAATTTTGTCACATTATCAAATCAGACATTCATAATTTGGAGTCAAATAAAGAGCCTTCTGAAAAATATTTAATGAGCTTTAAAATATCTGTGTTGCAGGATTTGTTTCTTTGTAATATTATCATTCTTGTATTAGTTGCAAATTACATGATTTCAGACTTATTTCATACACAGAAACTGAGGCCCTACCTACACATCTAATATTAATTATAGTACTTATGTCCATTGTATATCAATGGTCAACACATATGGTTTTTGTTCAGATAGATTGATAAAGGCCTGCTGTTATAACCTTCAACCCAGCATTCCAGGCCAGACTCAAATATGTATTAAGAAGGGCCTCTTTCTGAATGTATTCATTTAAACATATATAGTAATTCCTATAACCATTTTTATAATGTTTGGCTCTAACTATAGATTGGCAGAATGGGGATTAATTCGCGACCCATTTTACACTTGTTTTAAAGAATCAAATAACCTTATACTTGTGTACTCATCCTAATTAACTGAATTCTTAGACATATAAAAGCTTTCGCAGATAAATATTCACCACCAATACTTTTGCATCAAAAATGGATGTTAACTTGAAGTGCATACAAATTGCTGTATTGGTCCAGATGTGTGCCAAGATATTTTATTTTCGGATGGTGTGTATTGTTTGAATAAAAAAAAAAAATGTTGTACTTTATATTTTTATTTGTTTTGTTTTTTTACAAGACTTGTAATTTAACTATCACTATCTAAGATATTAATATATTTCCAAGATGAGTTGCTTATCCAAAGTTAAATCTTCAGACGCGCGTAATAGATACTCTATACAACATAAATAACACATACAATATATGAGACATAGCAGCATCCATTGAGAATAGAGAGATGGGCGCAATCGATATTATTTCTTTAATATATTAATTTAACTCGGAACTGTCACGAACGCACCCTACTCCAAGAGTGTGTGGGACGTAGTTGTGGTGGGGAAAGGATTAAAGTTCACTATTTGTCTGCACTAGACCAGAAATAATGACAAAATTCCCCCTTTTAACACCACCCACACTTAAACATAATAATATAACTATTACTATTTTAACTCTGCCACCATCAAGACAATTTATAAATGGGGTGCCTTGGCCCCCCAGGTAAATCAACAATAAAACCCACCAAATATTACTGAGTACAATATTTAAGGAATTGAAAAAATACTAACTAGTCTCTTCAGGTTGCGTGATTCTTAACCAGACAAAGGCAGGACTTAATAAATGAATGTTTAATATGAGCAAAAATAGTCACAGTGCATATAAAAATATATGATAAACAAATTACACCAACAACAGATAAAAACAAAAAGGATAAAATACAGAAGTCCTATCTTAGGTTTTCAAAGTACAACTTCTGTCCAGAGGGTCTCTGGCAAGGAAAGATGGAGACATACCCTGTGGATTACCACACCCCACCCAGAGGTGGAGTTAAGGCGTATCTATAGAGATACTAAGCGACCACCCCCTTGTGTCCAGACCCACATCAATCCAAATGGAAACATTTGGTTCTATCTTCTCTTATGTACCAGCCACAGGAATAATAATTGCCTCTATGAATTTATTATTTTCCCATTCTATACATATGTTGCATGCCGGCCTTGCGAACCTATAGGATGGACACCACAATTCCTTCCCCCATGGTCACGTTAGGCCACTCATGTTTGGACGTTGTTAGAAGATGGTGCTTGTCACATTCTAAATATAACAAAAATGAGGCTTTATTATTATTATGTGGGGTAAATATGAATGTTTTTGTCCTTCCTTTGGATATGATACACGGCTAATGGCATTTACAAATGAAAGAGATTGACTCATCCCTAATAAAGTACATGCCAAATGGATGAAGAGCCATTCAGACTTTTTCCAAGTGTAGAACCTCACACCTTGCAGAGCCTTGACTATATAGTAGGAAAGGTTTAATTGGCGCTCACTTAACACTGATAAAAAGTCAGGAAAACAGAGGCCTGCAGTAACTAGTACAAGGATTCCCAACCTTGTCAATGATAAATATAAGAAAAAAGAATAGTGAGTAGGCGCTTCACTGAAATATATGGCAATATAGTATGTAACGAAAATACCAAACAAAAACGGTGTACCCAGTATATAGGTTTTTCCCTTTTACACCAGACGTCAAGATAACAAAGTATGAAAATATAAATATACTGGTATGTCCACCTCCCCAGTGTCACTTAGCTAAAATAAGGTAATATTATTGACTTTGGCTTTGTTTCTGACTACGTTTTCTCTTTATCCTTATCTGTTCTGGTTGTCGGCTTCCTGTTTACTGTGTACCAGACCCCGGCTAGTCCTAGTTTACGTTGTCTCTCTGTGTCCTTGACTTCGGATCGTTCCTGACTCTGCCTCCTCTCATATACGTTGAGTCCAGCCATTCTAAGGTCCGGTAGACGTATCTCTCCTCTGTGTTGTCTTCTGTTTAGCTGAATCCTGCGTGTTGGGGTATATTCTCGTTACAGCAATATATTGGTCCCACTATGTACACAAGGTTATTTGAATTGCCCTGTGCATGGGTAGTGTGTGACACATAACCCTCTGTATATAGTGGGGGCATATATTAATTTACCCAAGCACACAGATTGCACTCCCAGGACTTGCTACAGCAACCAGGACTTACCGAAGCACTGAGATTGTACTCACAAGACTTGATCCCAGTACCCACCCCAGCACCCAGGACTTACCCCAACACTGAGATTGCACTCATGGTACTTTCTCCAGCACCCAGGACTTACCCCGGCATTTAGATTGCCCAGGACTTCAAACAGCCTCTTGCATGTACCATGTTCCATGCAAGAGGGAAAAGATGCCGGACGAGATTTCCAGTGGCAACAAAGACATTACATTGGCCGCGAGAGTGCTCTCTCACACTCCTGATGACGCATCTGCATCCCGCCATGGCTAAATTATTAGAGGCCACATCATACAGCTGCCCCAGGGCACTCAGGCCTTGCACAATATTACAAGCTGGAGCTTTACTGGTATCATTTTTTTTTATAAATACCTTGGTTGTGACAGTTGAACTCAGGCTGTCTGAGTATAGTGGGAACTGCATGTGATATGAATAGTTTGTGTGTGATGATATTGGGCTGTGTACATGTGATGGAAACTGTGTATTAGCACTGAACTGGCGCTGTGTGATGAGAATGTGTGTGATCATTTTGTGCTGTCAATGTGTGATTGCTTTTTGCTGGCTGTGTATGGTGCTACTGTGTTTATCTTAGCAATAACCTGATGAGTAGATAGAATAATGTAACTTTATCTGTGCTGTCTGTGACGTGTATGAAAGTTGGTGAATCCTAGAACAAAACAAACTAAAATTACGTGAATTCATTCTCATACAATATGTGATCTGGGGACATACCTTTAATCTATCTAAAAGCTTCACTTCAAGTTACTGTCTCAGTAGTAATGGCACTGTCCAGAGTGTCCACTCACTCCCTCAGTCCCTCTGCAAACTGCAGTCTCAGCCAGGTAGGTAAGGTGTCACACCTAAGGTGTAGCAGCACTATCTGCTCCACTCGCTTTCTAATCCTATATGTGTGTGTGTGTCTGTTAGTGGTTGTGTTACTATATGTGTGTGTCTGTTAGTAAGTGTGTGTCTGTTAGGGAGTGTTACTGTGTGTGTCTGTTAGTGAGTGTGTGTGCATGTCTGTTAGTGAAAGTGTATGCGTGTCTGTCAGTGAAAGACCCCCTCCCCCATGCCCTGCCTTCTAAATACACATACGCACTCACTGACACTGAGTGTATATGTGTCTGTCAGTAAGTGCGTATGTGTATTTAGAAGGCGGGGCGGGGGCTGAGGGAGTGCCTGAGTTTTGTCATACCCGGGGCAGCACAAAACCAAGATCCACCACTGTGCACACATACAGAGACATGCACACATACAGAGACATACAGGGATACATAGACATACAGTCACACAGACACATACATACAGGCATACAGAAACATACATACAAAGATGTAAAGGCATGCAGCCATACAGGCATACATACACACACACAGGCACACAGAGAGAGACATACATGCGTAAAGAGGCATACATACGTACAGGCACACAGAGACATACATACAGGCACACATAGACATACATACATACAATACATACATACATACAGGCACACATAGACATACATACATACATACACTGGTCCCTGCACTCCCACTGGGATGTCAGGCGGCTGAAAGGCCGCATGAAGAAACAAACCTTGCAGACTCAAGGTGCAGCTGCTTTTGCTACGCCCCCCCCCCCAAGGACTTGAGGCACCTGCCTTTTTTGTCCTGTGTTAAAGACAGTCCTGGCCCCATCAGACAGTACCTGTGCATTGGCCGGCCCTGCTAACAACTGATTTCTACACCCTCCTCGGCGGTGGCCAGTTTCGTCAACCCTTAGGTACGCTCTTGCGCCTCAGCACTAAAACTCACAGTAATGTGCAGTTTGCATGAGTATCACAAAGCTCCACCATACTAAAACTCACAGTAATGTGCAGTGTGCATGTGTATCACAAAGCTCCACCACACTAAAACTCACAGTAATGTGCAGTTTGTATGAGTATATCACAGAGTTCCGCCCAGGGCCGGACTGGGGATTCCAAAGCAGCCCTGGAAAAAAAAATCTATGCCAACCCCATAAGTCATTGCGCCATATATTGTCGCATGTAATATGTAAGGCTATGTCTTGCCACCCTAGATGATTGATATATATATATATAATGTTCCTTTTTATCCCTGCACACACTCTTTTAAGTTATTCAAATGCTGGGTGCATTCCAGCCAAAGTCAAATATCATAGAAAATAGTAAATGAAGGCTTGCACTCACGGTCTTTTTCTTGTGCAAAAGTTTTCTTTCTTTATTCCATATCTCTTAAAACATAATTTCTGTTAGAATCAACGTTTCAGCCATCGTCCGTGGCTTTCATCAGGATCAGTTCAGCAAAAATACATTTACTACATGATGCATTTATATAGCCAAACAAACCAATTATTCAAAAACACAATAAGTGTTGGCACTCAATTATGCAAGGTGCAGGTATTCGAGGTTTAACCCCACAACAACCTCCTAATCTAGATCCAAAAACAAATATGAATACCGCACTCAAAAAATGATTATAGTGAAATCTAAACTTGTATTAAATTGCAAAAATATTTATTATAATAATAATTCATAGGTTAATCAAGTAAACCTTAGTGAAATTCATTTCAATCATATATACATAGATTATTTACATATATACACACAATAACCTCCCTGTGCTGAATTTCATAAGCTTTATATCTATTTACACTGGTTATTGATCCAAAAAATGAAATGAAACGTCCAGAAAAAATAATAAAAAATAGTAAAAAAGAAAAAAGCAGAAAAAGAAAAAAAGAAAAAATGAGAAAAAAGAAAAAAATAAGAAAAAATGTATATATATTCCAGTCCTATTAATAGTCCAAAATATAGTGCACTATACAATTCATAGGTATATGGATGGATCTCACCAAAGAATACGTAGACTTTATAGTATATTCAGTAGGAGGGTGGTGAATCCTGTAGATGATGTATATTGGATGAGGGTGAAAATGAGTTGTAGTTCGGTGAGAAAGTAATCACTCATCTATTCTGTGGAATCTGGTCAGTCTGACAGGTCTTTTCCTGGATTCGTAATCGTGGGCAATCCTGTAATCGGGCTGAAATGGGCTGCGCGCTCGGGACGTTCCTGTCCCTTCGATGGCCCCTGTTCCTCTCCGTCCTGCCAAAGTGTAAGCATATCGATTTAAATATCCTCATTAGGCGGCAAAAATCCGCCGCGGCCACTCCATACTACTACTTCCGCCTTCTGACGTCAGCGTACGTCGCTACGTCATACGCATTCAACTCAACTTTATTGTTCACATACATGTTGCATTTTGGCAAAGATAAAGGGAAATCTCAAATTAAAAATTAAAGTAAATCTAACTAATAAATATGTAATAAAAATTATTACAAGGGCAATTGAAATGTATGTGAAACCTGAAAAGTGGAAACTAAATAATACTGTAATCTAAAAAAGTCTTAGACCAGAAAATCAAAATAAACTAGAGAAAAAAGGAACAGAAAATAATAATTTAATATTTCTAAATAAATCTAACTGGTGTATGGTTATTATGTAGCTCACCTGTAACAGATGATCAAGAGAACAGGAATATCTGTAGCTATAAATCAGTAGAATAATCAGCTAAAAAAAGGGAAAAAAAGAGGAAAAAATAATAAAAAATGGATTGTCTATGTCTCATACAACAAAGAAAAACAGTGTTCAAAAAATTCCAAAAAATATTTTAAAGAAAAAGAAAAAGAAAAAAAGGAAAAAGTACAAAGAACAAAGGATAAAAAAATGAAAAAAATAATAAAGAAAAAGTATATTGGATAAAGAAAAAGATCCTCATGAAAAAAATTTTTTGGAAAAGAAAATAAAAAGAAAATAAAAATAAAAATAAAGAATAAAAAATAAACAGAAGACAGAGTATGCAACTCACCTGTCTCGTAATGCCCCACCGTGCCCCTGGGTCCCGTGTGTGTGGAACCCTGTGCTGATGGCAGGTAGCGGACCCAAAGAGGTCAAAATGTTGGCAGGAAAGGACACCGGACCAAAACTGGTCAAGGGGAGCCTCTGTAAGGAGCAGAAAATCATAGAGCAGGCAATAAATGCAAAAGAAAGGAAAAAACTTCTCATAAGAAATGTTTAAGGTCATAGTCTTCATTAAGCCCTAATGGTGACAAAGTCTCCAAGGTACTTATCCATTTTGTTTCTCTCTGTAATAAGAGCTTCTGTCTATCCCCTCCTCTATGTAGAGGTGGGATTCTGTCCAAGACTTGAAACCTTAATTGGTTTACATTATGACCATATGTTTTAAAATGTCTGGGTACCGGAGCCTCCACTTTATTGTGTTGTAATGCTGCCCTGATGCTCCTTTTATGCTCCCCTATCTGCTCTTTCACTGGCCTGATGGTCTCCCCCACGTACAGGAGTCCACAGGGACACTTAAGAGCACTTAAGAGAGCCAGTGGCCATCCCTAAGTCAGCATTCGTCACGCCATTTGGGCTGTACCAGTTATGCCCTTTGGGATGAAGAATGCTGCGGCTACTTTCAAGCGGATGGCTGACCGACTCCTGGAGGGATTTCAGAACTTTGTATGTGCTTATCTAGATGTCATAGCCATCTACAGTAGCACATGGGAGTCCCACCTAGAGCATGTATCCAGGGTACTGGAGAGGATTCAGACAGCAGGGCTTACCCTCAAGCCTGACAAAAGCCATGTAGGCATGCCTGAGGTTCAATACCTTGGGCATAGAGTAGGTTCAGGCAAACAGCGGCCTGAACCAGCCAAAGTAGAGGCCATTGCCAATTGGCCACAACCCCGCACCAAAACCCAAGTGCTAGCCTTTTTAAGGACGGCAGGGTATTACCGTAAATTTGTCCCAGAATATAGCGCCCTGGCCAAACCCCTCACCAAGAAGGCCCTTCCCAAACAAGTAGTTTAGTCCCCGGAGTGTGTGGACACTTTCCAGAAACTAAAAACAGTGCTCTGCGAGGCACCTGTGTTGGCCGCCCCAGACTATAACAAACTGTTTCTTTTGCATACAGATGGCTCCATGTTTGGGCTGGGAGCCGTGCTGAGTCAAGTGGGAGACGACGGAATGGAGCACCCGGTGGCGTATCTTAGCCGGAAACTACTACCCTGAGAGGTTGGTTACGCCACCTTAAAAAAAGAATGCTTAGCTCTTGTGTGGGACCTTAAGAAACTCCAACCCTACTTGCATGGACGCCCGTTTACCCTAATGACCGACCACAACCCCCTAATTTGGCTGAACCGGGTAGCAGGAGATATCCCCGACTATTGTGCTGGAGCGTGGCCTTACAACCGTACAATTTCATCAGGTAAACAGAATGGAAATGCCGATGGTGTTTCCCGCCAAACCGAACTGGAACTATAAAACTTGACTCTCCCGGTCATCCCCAAGCCAACCCGGCAGGGTCTAGGCGGGTATGCTGACCCATGGACCAAGGGGGAGCAGTGTGAAAAAAACAGCTTTCTCTATCTTTATTTGTATGTTATTTCGGATATTTTTCACTTTTCGTTTATTTGTTCGGTAGTTTTAAAACTACCGAACAACCAACTACCCCTCTGGCTCATTATTGATAAAGGAAACGTTCAATTAAGCACTCTCTGTGTGGCCACCGTTCATATAGCCGATCTTGTTTGCAGGAAAGGAGGCAGCGGGACTTGGTCGTCGAGTGTCTTACACTAAAATCGAACACTCGACTTCCCGAAACAGGGTCAAACTGACGAACGCCTGCTTCCTTTTCCTGAACAGCTAGGAGAGCGCTGTCCGGTAGTTTTGTTCACACGAACAAGGGGAACAATCGCTGCTATTTGCCAGAGGGATCCATTCGTGCATTAGTTTGTTTATTTGGACTGCCTGAAATCATGGAACTGTTTTGGGCAGGAGCCTCGTGTGCCGTCGGTCAACTGGGACTTCCATGAAAATCGAAAACCCCTGAACCGATCTGGGTGATTTTTGGATATGTTGGTCACCCAGATCGGGGCTGTGACATTTGTGGGGGTCCTGTATGTTTTATGACTAAATTATCTCTGGGTAGAGGGAACCCAATTTTTACAATATTTCTTAGCCTAATTGCAGGGCAGGGCAAGGCTTTATAAGCCTTTCACCGCCCTGCAGAGCTTAGTCTGCACCGTGCCCTCGCCGGTTGCAGATGGGTGAATTTTATTTAGCGTCGGGTTTTTTTTCTTTTGTCTGTTTTTGG